GAAAAAAAATCAGGTCAAGTTACCTATAGAAAATAAAAATGAATTAATATTTATACAAGAACAATACAGGTACATACAAACTTACTTTTTAGTAAAATATTATAATATAATACAGATGTAGAGGAAAAGGTTTCAAGTCCCTAGTCCCTACGGTTAATATTTTTTGTATTACAACAAAATGTGTTTGCTTTTTTCCTCTGTCTTAGTATACTGCAGGCAATCCTAACTACAGTTTGAATCAGTGGTTGAATTGTGGGAGGACCAGGGGGACTGAGCTACTCTTCATTTTTCTTCAAATATTATAGCGTACCCCTATTTGTTAATTTGTTATATTCATCAAGGGATAGGGTTACTGTCAAATTGATTTGCTTAATTGTTCAATTTCATTTATTAGAGACTTAGAGTCCACCTTTATTTTTTTTTCCAGTTCAACCACTGGTTGAAAGTTGTAAGCTTCGACCATATAAGCTAATAGACGCGCCTTATCATATGTTTGTATAGGCACAATTATGTAGCCATCATGTTTAATGATATGACGTCACGTTTGGGCAAGGGGCAACACAATTTCGAGTTATTAATTATTATTAATTTGTTTATTTGGTGTTTACTCGTTCACAGGCTCACAGCGTTTGCCGTTTGGAACACATTTTTTACTGTCGTATTGTATGTCTCGAGTCTATTGACCCTTGTCAATTTGTCATCGAAAATTATTTTTCACATTCTAGCTTTCATAGTTTCAAACTGCTTTCTTTGAAWCTTGAAAGTATTGTGTTTTGAAATGTTTGATAAATGATCATGGTTTTATTATAATGATAGTTAAAGTATGAATGTTGAAAAGCTTATTTTTTTGTTGCATTATTTTACTTTTGATATTCATATGATTTACCAAATGGCAAATACACCTCACTAGGACTAGGAATAAGGTAACTACTGTCTGCTAAAATGGTAAAATACAATAATGGTTTGATTAAATATTGTATTCTTACTATTAATTGAATAATATTTTATATAATATATTCATATATTGTGTAATCAAGTAATTATATTCTAATAGATAATATTTAGTATAGTTGTGGATCATTTACGTTAACAAATACATAACAATTATTTTATTATTTTATTGGATTTCATCATTGATTAAAGTATAATATATAAATATAGGGAACTACCATAGGCTTAACTAGATCTCTAAAACGAGGGGTGCTAAAACTGTGAATACATCACAGGGCCGTGGGGGCTTTGCACGGCCCCACACGGCCCCCACGGCCCCTACATATAGACAAACTTTAATCGATACATCAAAACTTTAAAAAATATATTAAGATTTTTTACAAAAATAAAAAAATGAACAATATTTCTACTACTACAATATCAAAAACATATTGAAACATTTTTATTTCATAATCCTGTTAGATAAATAATAATTTATAGATTTGAAATCAGCATACATTTTCTGGGTTTCATGCAATATTTATTCAAAATAGTTTCGGTTTTTATCTGATTGAATAAATCTTTTTCAATATTCAACAAAGATAAATAACAAATTATATTATACGACCAAACAGTTATACATTTTTTCAGAAAATTTCCTATCATTTAAAAACATAAAATTCATAATATTAGGTATATAATAATAATTATATATAAAAAACAA